TTTAAGCTTAAAGTGTGGATTTGGTGCTTTATTCAAATGCAGCTGAGAACAGGTGAGTCTTCAACCTGGATTTAAATAAACTGAGTGTTTCAGCTGATCTGAGGCTTTCTGGGAGTTTGTTCCAGATATAAGGAGCATAAAAGCTGAATGCAGCTTCTCCGTGTCTGGTTCTGACTCTGGGAACTGATAAAAGACCGGATCCAGATGACCTGAGGGATCTGGAAGGTTCATACTGGGTCAGGAGGTCATTGATGTATTTTGGTCCTAAACCATTCAGAGCTTTATAGACCAGCATCAGAACTTTAAAGTCTATCCTCTGACGGACAGGCAGCCAGTGTAAGGACCTCAGAGCTGGACTGATGTGGTCCACTTTTTTGGTCTTAGTGAGGACTCGAGCAGCAGAGTTCTGAATGAGCTGTAGTTGTCTGACTGATTTTTTAGGTAGACCTGTAAAGATGCTGTTACAGTAATCAAGCCTACTAAAGATGAATGCATGGACTAGTTTTTCCAGGTCCTGTTGAGACATCAGATCTTTTATCCTTGATATATTCTTGAGGTGATAGTAAGCTGACTTTGTTATTGTCTTAATGTGTTTTTCTAAGTTTAGGTCTGCATCCATCACTACACCCAAATTTCTCGCCTGGTTTGTGGTTTTTAGATGTATAGATTGAAGTTCTCTGGTGACCTGTAATCGTTTTTCTTTGGCGCCAAAGACTATTACCTCAGTTTTGTTTTTGTTTAGCTGGAGAAAATTGTGGCACAACCAGTCATTGATTTCCTCAATGCATTTACCAAGAGCCTGTACAGGGCCTCGGTCTCCTGGTGACATTGTGATATATATTTGTGTGTCATCTGCATAGCTGTGATAGTTTATTTTGTTGTTGTTTATAATCTGTGCCAGTGGGAGCATGTAGATGTTAAACAGAAGGGGTCCCAAGATGGAACCTTGGGGAACTCCACATGTGATACTTGTCTGCTCAGATGTGAAGTTACCTATTGATACAAAGTATTTCCTGTTTTCTAAGTATGTTTTGAACCAGTTTAGTACAGTTCCTGAAAGACCTGTCCAGTTCTCCAGTCGTTTGAGTAATATGTTGTGGTCAACTGTATCAAATGCTGCACTGAGATCCAGTAAAACTAGGACTGACATTTTTCCACTGTCTGTATTCAGACATATGTCATTAAACACTTTGGTCAGAGCAGTTTCAGTGCTGTGGTTCTGTCTAAAACCTGACTGGAAGGCGTCGTAGCAATTATTCTGTTTTAAGAAGTAACTGAGCTGTTGAGAAACTGCTTTTTCAATGATCTTACTTAAAAACGGGAGATTTGAGATCGGCCTGTAGTTGTTCATTTGTGTCTTGTCAAGATTGTCCTTTTTCAGTATAGGTTTGATTACAGCAGTTTTTAGTGATTCTGGAAACACACCTGATAATAAAGAAAAGTTGACGATCTGTAACAGGTCTGACTCTAAAGTCTTTGAGACCTTTTTGAAAAAACTTGTTGGCAGGACATCTAAACAGCAGGAGGAGGAGTTCAGTTGACCTAAGATGTCCTCCAGGTCTTTGCTGTTAATAGGTTGAAACTGTTTCATGGTGTTTAAACAGTTTTTTGGTGGACACAGTACATATCCTGGATCTGCTGTTGATGTACCAATTGCTTGTCTAATTTTTGGATTTTTTCAGTGAAGAATTTGGCAAAGTCATTGCAGGCCATGGTCGAATGAAGTTCAGCTGCCACTGACACAGGAGGGTTTGTTAGCCTGTCAACTGTAGAAAATAAGACCCGAGCATTATGGCTGTTTTTAGTGATGATGTCAGAGAAGTAGGACCTCCTTGCATTCCTCAGTTGTAAATTATAATTGTGAAGTTTCTCTTTATAAATGTCATAATGAACCTGGAGGTTTGTTTTTCTCCATCTGCGCTCAGCTTTCCTACACTCTCTTTTTTCATTTTTCACTAGTGTGGAGTTTCTCCATGGAGACTTTTTCCTTCCAGAGATAACCTTCACCTTAATGGGAGCAATAGTGTCCATTACATTTAACATGTTAGCATTGAAGCTATTGACGAGCTCATTGACTGACCCTCTGGGCAGGTCAGGTGTTAATGGGAAGACCTGGTTAAAAATTTAACCACTCTTTCTAAATAAAAACATATATTCTTTTTAAATACATTATTTTAAAAGCTTTAATATTCACCACATAAACGTGAAGGCAATTTCTGCAGCTCCAGAGTACAAAATCTAGTGTAATGGCTGGCCTCGCTCTTACTTTTCCCTCCTTTTGGGGTTCTTGATCCCACAATGCATTGTAGTAGTTAAGAAATACAGGAGGATCACCTGTAGGTAACTTATATGGTAAGTTCCTTCTCATTTATACAGTACATTGTACTGTTTTCTGTGCTCGGCAACTGGGAGTTACCAGAGAAACCTTACTAACTTTAAGTTAAAAAAGAAACAGCAATTAGACAAAGGCATCTGGTCGAAAAAAGGAGAACAACAACAATTACATCAATTTATATTGTTTTAACTTTTCAAGAACAGGTCACAGTGTTCATGTAAATAATCGCACTGCCAGAGGAGGGAGACAAAAGCTTTTGCCACAGTTATGAGGCAATTCAAATCTGGTTACAACTGGAAGGAAATCCCTTCCCAAGCTAGATTTAAGCACCTGATGAGCAGTATCATGTAGGGAAAGGTGGCTGTGAAATATGCAACTTTCAAAGGAAAACATTAAGACAATATTTTAGTTTCATGTTCATTAGTCTAATCACTGCTGTGTACCACAGCTCTATTTTTTATGGATCTGGAACCTTTCCAGAGGACCTGATGCTTTTTCATAAAATGAAGCAGACATAGCCAGTACAGGTTTTATCAGGATAAATTTGTCATTAACTTTATGTAAAAATCGAAAGAGACGTGGCATTATAATGTAAATGCTATGAATTAAACTATTTTTTTTAGATTTTACTATAAAGCTAATTTATTATTGTTGTTTTAAATAAACTTCATGTTTATTGATTAATGTTAAAGTACATGTGGAAGTACTCCCAGAACTCAGTAACAGCAGAGGTGGTGTTGGTGATGGTGGTTTGACAGAAATCAGAAAAGCTGTACAGCTGGCCGATTTCGAGAAGAATTTAAATAGATTTGAGAAAGACTGATAAAACTATACACTTGAGGAATTACAATTTTAGACAATAAGGAAGAGTTGTTAGCTCCACAGTCAGTGTCCCAGAAATTATAGCTTGCCCTACCATGGAGTTTCATTAGACTGCTGGTAATGGATAAACCATGACAACTTCTGGCTTTGTGCAGCTGTTCATTACCGGCAACTGTAGCCAGATCCAAAAATGTGTGCCCTTATTGCTATGCTTCTTTTACTTTACTTTGGCTATGCGTTATTTTTTTTTTACACAATAAAACTGTGTACTATTAATTTGAAAACATAACTTTCTTGTACAAAGACTGAGTGTGTGAAGATGGTAAAATAACTAACTATAAGCTTAGTTATTTTACCATCTTAGAGAGTGATTCATTTAAAGCAGAGTTTGTTTCAGAGAAGGCTTTGTCACCCTATGTCAAGGGTCATAGCCAATGATTACATTTTGGAAAATGAAGAAGGAAGAATTATATATATTAAATATTACCATGCACACACCAACCAGGACCCAAGCCCCCGAGGCCCACCAGGAGCCCCTGCCTGGAGGAGAAGCACCCCTGCATCCCCAAGCCCCCAAGCCTGTCCCAGACCCAACCAGTGGCCAACAGGCTACCTGGCCAGTAACCCACGTCCACCAGCACAGACCCTTCCCAAGCTCTGCTGCCCGCAGCCACCAGGAAAACGCCACCCAAAAGCCACCCAAGCCCCCATCCAGGTCATGAATAAACCTGAGCCCTCAGCTCAGTTTAAAACCTTTGTTTTCAAAATATGATTGTTTCTATAGGTCAAACTTTCTAATGAAAGTGCATGAAAGTGTCAGCAACCTGATCCACAAAGAGGTTGGTCATTCCTAGTGTCCTGTGTGGTTTGAATAAGTTACTCTGAAAAAGATGTGACCTTAAGTTTAATGTTCACACTAAAATCATCGAAGGCCTGAGAGTGATGTGTTCAGAACAGAGTGTATTTTTTTTTCAATCATTTAAGACTACTTAGGAATTCAAATGTTTGTCTTCCAGTATAAACAGGGCATTGCACACTTTTAAAAAGAGTGCACTTCAGTCACCAACAGTAGAGGCTTGGAGAATTTCAACTTCTAGAAATGATGCTGGAAATGCATCATTTCTCTGCTGACACTTGTGAGCCCAAAAAATTTAGATTTACTGACATAACCAGCTTTTCCTCATGTTTCTCAACAAGTGCAGGAAGAAATTGAGATTCTTGTCTGTGAAGGTACTCAGCTTGGAAATAAAAGCGTCTGTGCTTCTTTAGTCCAGATGTTTTTCGTTCTAAGCTCCTTAAATTGAGATTCTTATTAATCCAATTCTCAAGAGAGTGCAGTAGCAGGAATAATATTATGGTTTGATCCAGGATTTGAAGCTGCATCATGACTGCTGCGGTACATATTTCAGGATGTCAGCTCGTTTTGGCAGAGTTGGGACCACATCTGTGAAGGCAAAGAAATAATTCCAAACAGCGTGATTGACCCAGAGCAGCTTCTAGCTGTGTGTAAAATAGTAATGGTTTACTATTTCGCTACATGCCTACTTCTTGCCAGATCTAGAGGTCTGATTGGTGAGATCTCTTTATTGACATGCAAAAATAAGAAAAATCTGACTCTGAAAAAGTAAACGCCATAAATTCGTCCTGCAAAATTGCACAGTCAGTGTTAAAAATGAGTTCAAAAATTTTTGAACTCATTTTTGAACGCACAAAATATTTGAGTGAATTTTAAGTGTCCAGCGTCTAAAGGCTTTAAGTGACCGTGATATTACTCACTAGGCTAAGACTTGTTATTGTCTTTTAGAGACGTCTTGATTACTTCACTGAATGACGTACTATAATCATGTCATATTACCAGGTAACAACCACATATAAAGAATTTTGTTTTGTGGTGTTCCTTCATCGTGTACCTCCTGATTACCAACACCTCTAGATGAATGACTTCTACGTTTACCCTGACTGGGGGTACACACTAGGATGGACCATGATTCTGTCTTCTGTTCTCTTGGTACCACTATTCGCAGCTGTACAGATGTATTTAACACCAGGCACTTCCAAACAGGTCAGTGCTGAGTCAAGATACTCGTGCTATTTTGCTTAAAACACACTGCACTGATTTATCTGTGTTATTATAATTTAAAAACTTAGTCACGAATCGCTAGTCCTTTCCTGTGTTCTAGCGTTTGCACGTACTTTGTTGTCCAACTGAAGAACCAGTGACGTGCATAGAAATATAAGCAGTCAAACAAAATGTTGACATTTGTAAAGCTGAAGACCTTTTTTTTCCTCCACGTTTTTGTGAATTCATTTTATGATTTAATGAATCATTTTTTTGTGAACTCATATTTCTGTACCTCTTTGAATGTGGTAAGATAAGATGCAAACATAAAATAGTCTCAGCATATTCTCTTGTCATAGCAAACTTGCTTTATACTTCATGCACAGTTTTGTTTCGTTTCCAGTGTGTGATTGTGCAAGTATCTAAGTGCTTATCAAAATATGCAACAGGCAGTAACAGTTTCTCCTTAACATGTCTTAAGAAGAACACTTACTGAGTTTACTGTCATTGCATGCTCATTAAAATGTACAGATCACAGCTGAAAGGTGTAAAAGTTTATGTGTTGATGCAAGTTCAATCATCCAGGTAAGGAATTCCCAAAACGTTCAGATGAACAGAATCAACTTTTTGGGGTGTAAAGGTTTAGTTTTTGTCTCTAAAACTAAATACTTCAGATTGATTAAACACTTTTTCTTACTAGGAGTCAAGATTCCCCCTGTTATTCAGCAATGATACACTTAATTGCTGAATAACTGTGGTTGGCATAACATCCTCACCTTTTCAGAGAGCCTCCATCTTCTACCTGGTTGATTAGAAACAACTTGTACATTTACGCTGCCTAGGCGTAAGCACTATGATGGCGCAGGACTTTATCCTATGTTCTCTTGGACCGAATGAAGGCAGTTAGACAGATTTGTTTGTATAATAATTTATTTCAGATCTCTCACCGTCTAAGCTCAACGTGGTCCGTTCCTCTCGCTTCACTCCAGCCGTGTCTGTCCTTTATTACCCTGCTGAACATCTGTGGTATGATGACAGAAAATATGATGACTTCCCCCTCCCGTCTTTAATGTTACCTGTAAAGTCACATTAGCTATATCTTTCAATCAATAAACCATTAGATTATTCAGCCAAACGCTGAAAAGAATCCATCTTATGTGCGTATTTTTCTTTTTTCCTTGCTTTGCGCTTTTATTGTATGCTGCCAGATCGGATTCTTTTTTAAGCTTTCTTCCATGCCTTCATTATGTGTCTTTAAATGCTCTGTCAGAACTAATAAAAACTTTCAACACGAGAACACAGCGGCCCAGCTCTCAACTCCTCCCGAACAGATCCAGTGAGGCGGGGAACAGGGCTGCGCCCCGGGGCTTAGTGGCGGGTTGCTGCAGAACGACGACCTCGGTTCTGGCTTGATTCCGTGAAACGCTGAGTTGAGAACAATTTTGCATGAGCGGATCGAAGGAACTCACCGAAGCGCTCAAATAACTGGTGGGTTTCTCGGAGCTGCTGAACCACGGTGCCTAGGACTTTTCATGTTGCTTGAAATTGCGCATTGACGTAAATGTATTGGGCACGTGGGGTCAATGGGTTGACCAGATCGTTCTGTCATAAGCAATGCTCACGGTTACCCGGAAAGCAGACTCGGACACGTGATGAGTGTATTAAAAGGTTTATTTACAAAGTAACATAGCACGTCTGACTAAATTAGGCTTGCGGAGTGGAACTGCTGCAGGAGCGTAACTGGAGTGGTCTGCGTGAAGAGGGAGAGTTAGAGGGAAGGAATGATATGCGGGATACTGTAAGTCATGAAAAATGTTGCCTTATTTGTATTTAGAGGCAGCACAGGAAAGGGTAGACTGCGCCCACCGATTCACCTGCTGCATGAGGCAGAACAATCTCAACCTACCCAGTCCCCTAATAACTAGTTTCTAAAACCACCTTAAAAACATTTAGAAAATCAAAAACAGGAAGAAGACAGAAAAAGTACAGAAGTACATCTACAATCCACATCCACAATAGGTTATTGTTTATGTCTCTGCCTGGTTAGGTTACTCTGACAAATATGTGACCTTAAGTTTAATGTTCACACTGAAAGCAGACCTGAGGGCGACTAGTTTAAACATACATATTCAGGCAGAACTGTCTGTTAATTAATACTTTAAAACATTCTAAAGATCAAATGTTGGACTTCCAGCCCAAACACGGGCCACCAAAAGGCATTTAAAAAGAGGAGAGCCTAATTCATCAGCAGTAGACGCTTGGAGTTGAAATCAGGGTCAATACTTCGTCACTTAACGAACAGGTGAGAACTTGAATGTTACAAAGTTCAGGAAATTTAATTTTCTTTGTGTGTGTGTGTTTGTGAAAACCAACTTATGTTTAATATTCCACGTGTCTGTATTTATAATAGGTGCCTTTCCTCCCAGCAGCGAATACATCCACAACGCTAATTAATCCTTTCAGAAAAATCTTTACAATGTTCAAAGGTCGCTTGACTGATGTTCATCTTTTTGGGTAATGATAAATAATGATAGAATTAATAATGAAAACACCTTGAAACAGTCTGAAGATATTTTGAGAGTTGTTCAGAGTGAGTTTTGACAACACTAACAAAGGGAAGTGTCACTGCAAATGTTTTTGGTTCATTCACTCTTTCACAAATACCTGTGAACACTCGCGTTTCTCCGGGTCCGCTCCTTCTTTAAAGCAGTGTTACTTTTGTTGACCAATATTAGTTTTGTCAGCGGCCTTTTTTTCCTGACGAAAACAAGACGACAACTAAATAAAAAATAGAAATGACATGGTTTGGCTCTTCAATTCAACCAGTTTCAGTTTTCACCGTCATCAAGGTCTGCAAGCATTAAAAAAAACATGGTTAGCTTCCTCCTGTAAGTGTCTGTAAGTGGTCGAAAAGTCCGCAAGTCTTGAAAATAGAATCAAATCAGACTTAAAGCCAAACCTTTAATTTCAAAGGACGTAACTGTCTTTTTCGTCTTTGTTTATGTGACATCATTGTTTCAGTTATCTATGTGTATTGTTGTTTGGTTACTGAAAATGCAATTATTTTGAAAGTGCAGGACAAAAAGCTGTGATGAAATTTCACACTTTCGTCAAAGAATAAAAAGGAGATAAACATGTTCTAGATCCAATCAGATTTAATTAAGTTGTGTAGAAAGGCGAGACGAGTTTCGAACCTCCCGAACATCTCCAATCATCGGTTTGCAGGCGATCTTTGCGCAGGATGCTGAAGGATCTAACTGCAGTCTCGGCTGCTGTTTAACGGTTTCAGTTCTCTTCACTGCGAAAACTCCATAAAAAGCAACAAATTTCATGTGTGAATTTTCCACACAAGATATCTGCAAACTGGGGCGGGCTGGGACCAGAGGCGGAGCCAGACATTTGAAACACCTGGGGCTTAGCCCTAAAGGGTAGTATGCATGTGGGATATTTTTTTTTTGGGGGGGCGGTTAGAAATGACTGAAAGATTAATAGTCTCTGTTTTCAGTTTTGTTAAAAAAAGAATGGCTTCATATAGGGAAAAATATATATCACATGCAGGACACCTTAAACTAGTTTTTTAATTAAGCAGCAAGGCAGAACAAAGTCGGGGCTGTATCAAGACACGAGGACTAAACCCCAATTCAACCAGACCCAGAACTGATCCGGAATTAAAACAGGACTACAACAGTTCAAAATCAGGACTACTGAGGACTTAACCAAGACAGAACCAGAATCAGAACTAGCACTAAAAATCATCATATACCTGCACTACACTTATTTTTTTAATTCTACCAAAGTCCACTATTTAGATTGAGAAAAGTTTATATAATTATTTAGCCTTGTTGTGCAAACAAGCCTGCATAACTTAATAAATGTAGAATTTGAAAAATAGCAAACCTAAAAAGAAACACTAGGTACGAGATGCATGAGTACCTATGATACGGTGATACTTTTGGTAAACAACCATTTGACTAACATGTGTGTCTCACCTGCTCTTGTTCCATCTCTGTTCTGTCCTCATTCTCCATCTCCCTCTCTGTTCCTCTCTCTCCCTCTTTTGTGCTGACAATCATCAAATATGATGATTGTCAGCACAAACACCTGACCGGGGTCGGGTTTTTTGTCCTAGCCTGGGACAAAAAACCCGACCGGGGTGTTCTGGTAATCCGTCCTGACAAACCATCCTACCCGTTGTTTCTGCGCAACTTTATTTTAAAACCCGATTTTAAAATAAAGTTAAGTCGCAAACCGTCCTACCTTTATGAATATGAGCTAGAAGCATACGCTGATGGGTAAAGTTAAGTGGCAAACCGTCCTAACTATTTAAATTTATGCTGGAATTGTGTGACAGCAGGAATGTGCATCAAGTACATATGGTAGGACGTTTTGCCAACGCAGGAACACATATCTGGTAACTCCGATTATGCAAAACACAGGACTGTTAATATTCCAATATTAACCCTTTCATCACACTTGGCCAAATTACTGTGACCCAAATGACTTACTAAAATCTTGTTTTTGAGATAACTACAAAGATTTCGGTCATCGCGCGTAATTGGAGTGCACGCTGCGGAGACTGTTACCGGTCAACTGCCACGTGCATTCCCAAAGCCTTATAATAATTTATATTGTTCATAACTTAATGAAACTACACCAAAACACTTAAAGCTCTCTACTGCACAACAGGCGAAATCCTTCGCCTTGAGATGAACAAAGGAAGAGTAAAGCGAAGTGAGAACATTGTTGGAGGAGACAGGACGGTGGGCCAGCAAAACAGAAAATCAGGTCGTTGCAGGAAATGTGGTGGATCTTGGCAACATGTGGAGATTTCATTATCTCTGCTACAAGAATGGTGGAGGTGAATTAAAAGGATCATTGCCGAGTAGCATAAAAAAGATCACATTCGATGCTACATAATCATCTTGGTTTGAATATTCTCAGGTGCCTTTCTGGTGCCATATTGTCTCTTAGCTGTGGTGTGTGGGATACCATTGTTCCTAATGGAGACTTCATTAGGTCAGTACACTCAAGAAGGATTTATCACCTGCTGGAGGAAACTGTGTCCACTGGCACAAGGTATATTTGCTCAGTTAAAATATTAAATCAGCAGGGAAAATAAGAAATTATATTTGAAGTTTTAAATGCTCATGTTGTATTAGCTCCACAGATTACAACATTTTAACCATCATTTTTATTTCCATCATAGGAATTGGATATGGAGCTTTCATAATGAAACTTTATGACTTTAGCTACATTTTAATACAAGTCTGGGCTCTCTTCTACCTCGTGTTTTCATTCAGCTCCCAGCTGCCATGGGTCAGCTGTGAGAACACCTGGAATACAGGTAAGGCAACATTCAATCAGCAAAAAAGGCATGATATTAGCAACAGTTTTAGATTTGTAAATATATAAAAGTAAGTCGCAAGAAATGACTGTAATCACAACATAATCCCCCCCGAAATAGATGTGAACACTCATAAGAAAACAGTATAAACACAAAATCAGTCTTTCCATTTTCAGCTTTGTATATTTTTATCTATCATCTTCTTTTATCTATCAGGCTATTACTGTAGTATAGCATAGTATATTACTGTAGTATAGTATATATAGTAGTATATAGCAGTATATAACAGTTTACCTCACATTAATGGTTAAATTGATTGTTTTCCTGTTCCACCTGGAGCATTATTCATACAGACATGTATTTTAGTCATAAACAAATTATATTCTTTAACTATAAATACATCAACTGAATAAACTGAATATATATGTATATATATATATATATATATATATATATAGATAGATAGATAGATAGATAGATATAGATATACATAGATAGATAGATAGAAATAGATATATATATGTTCAGTTTATTCAGTTTAGTTTAGTTAGTTACTGTTGTTACTCTCTTGGAACAACTGTGGCCACATCTGCTTACTACACTAATATTATTCAGTCTGCTGAAGGAAATATATGTAGTTTGTTTTCCACATTCAGACAGCTTTAACACATTCTGGTGCACTCTGTAATAAATATATGGACTTTTTTTATACCAAATTATGAATATTCATCAACAATTGCCTTCTTCCTGCAATGCAGGGACGTGTTCTGCTTGCACCTTTTCACCTACCCGACTGTCATTTTCTTTATCCAGTTTTGAGCTTACTTCAGTATTTCAAATATCTTCCATTATTAGTAAGGTAAAGTCAATGACATGTCAACTTGATCCACTGCCTTCCAATCTTGTTAAACTTTCCTTCCCCTCTCTTGGCCCACTTATTACTAATGTTGTACACTCCGTCCTTATCTCTGGTTCTGTTCCAGCACTTTTAAAAACTGAAATACTTACTCCAGTGCTGAAAAAATGGTTCAGACACAAACAATTTAAAAATTTAGAATCTGCCTTTCCTTTCCAAAATTATTGAACAGTTGGTTTATTGGTTCATAAACGCCTTACTGGAAATAATTTAAATGAAGAGTTTCAATCTGGTTTATGTTAATTTCCAGTGTAGAAACAGCTCTTGTGAAAGTTACAAATGATCTTTTACCTGTAGGTGATTCCAGACTCATCACTATTCTCATTCTCCTTGATCTTAATGCAGCTTTCGATACAATCTCCCATCATATCCTACTCTATAGATCAGCCTCTATTGGCATCAACAATATGGCACTTGCTTGGTTTCCCTGATACCTCTCCAGTTGTTCACAGTTTGTGCAACTGCATACACAGATCACAATCCAGTTGATTAATTCAGTTTATCTCTGCCTTTCTGCAATAATTTCATTTAATTTCACTGTTATGCAGATGACACCCACCTCTATTTGTATTCCAAACCCACTGCCACTCCCCCACCCACATCTGTTTTTGAATGTTTGTTTGAAATTAATGGTAATAAATCTGAATGTTTTCTTATTGTTACAACATCTACTCTGTCTAAACCTAACAGTTTTTCATTATCTATCGATAATTCCCTTTGCATACCTTCCTGAGTCTGGATTTCATCATTGATAGTACTATCTCCTCCACAGCACCAGTGTTGGGAAGGTTACTTTTGAAATGTATTCCACTACAGATTACAGAATACATGCCCCAAAATGTATTTTGTAACGTATTCCGTTATGTTACTCAATGAGAGTAACGTATTCTGAATACTTTGGATTACTTAATATATTATCATGCTTTTTACAACTAATGAATGTCCTGTTCCTGTGTGATTCATTACTATTACTGAAGGCTACTCGCAGGCTACTCAATAGCAACTAGATTTTTAAATCTTAATATAAAATGAGTAACAGTAGGGTGGACATTAGGTAAGGCTGCACTTTTTGCAGCGATCTCGTATAGAAAACTATTCCGCGCTTATATAAAACAGATCCGCGGCTCCGAACTGTAGTAAAGGGACCTCTGGTTAACACGTCGGTTTCCGTGTCGGGCTCATAGCCAAAAACTAGCTTTACTTTGTTGTCTTGGTCAACTTTGCTGGCGAGAGACAGAGAGAAGCGTTGAAAGGCTGCTCCAGCGGAACTTGTTGTTTCGGAGGAAAACAGGAACACGGTGTACACTCGAGTCTTAATAGCTTACTTACAACTGGGCTCGTCAGGCACTCTTTTTTGGCTGCAGTGGTTATTATTATATTTACATGCTTCCAGCTCCCGTTTCTGCTCGATGACAACTCGTACTTTTCCACTCACCTTTTTTTCCCTCCCTCGCTCATAGATACATAACGTGTACGGCAGTCCATTCTCCCTGCAGCACGGACTACACTGCCCATGAGGCTACATTCTTTAGGGATATGTCTGTAACACTCTGCTATTGCCTTCATATTAAATCATTTTAAAAAAATATTTCTTCACGTCATTATGAGACTCGAGATTGAGACACGGGCATTTGAGCCTCTTAATGTGTGTTTTGTTTGGGTTTCCACCTGTGTGGAATTACAAAAAATAGAGAGGGCATAGCCTAACATATGAAACAGGAAAAGACTGCCGTGTAATCCCTTTATTTCAACAAAGTAACGGTATTCTAAATACCACCCTTTTAAACGGTAACTGTAACGGAATACAGTTACTCATATTTTGTATTTTAAATACGTAACAGCGGTACATGTATTCCGTTACTCCCCAACACTGCACAGCACATATAAACAATATCACCCAGTCGGCCTACCTTCATCTTCGCAATATTAACTGCTTTCATTTCTCACTTACTCAAACAATACTGCCATACTTGTCAATGCTCTTGTCATATCTCGGCTTGATTACTGTAAATCTCTTCTCTGTGGTTAGAATTCTAGAATTTTTTTATGCTTTTGTTTTGGGGTTTTAGTTGTGTATTTTATTCCCATTTAGTGGTGTGTGTGTGTGTTTTTAAATTTCTGTACTAATGTAAGGTGACCTTGAGGCTTTTGAAAGGTGCCTATAAATAAAATGTATTACTATTATTGTTGTTATAAGTTACTTATCTCACCCCAATCCAGCTAACTGTCTTGGTCTTTACTCATCTAACGGGACTGCAAATCTAACCAACGCCACCTCTGCTGCAGTCGAGTTCTGGGAGTGAGTTCAATTCACTTATAATTTAAAGAGCTCTCATGAGTAAAATTTGAATTCTGATGCAATCGCTGCAAGTTTCTGTATAAATCCACTAATTACTTTAATTGAACATAACAAATTATAAATTAATTAAAAACATGATTTTTGTTTTTCCTAATTTTCCCTCTCTGAGGCGTCGGATGCTGGGTATGTCTGCAGGTATCGAGGAAATGGGCGGTGTGAGGTGGGAGCTGGCTCTTTGTTTACTGGGCAGCTGGGTGTTCTGTTACTTCAGCATTTGGAAAGGTGTCAGATCTTCTGGAAAGGTCACTGGAAGTATTTTGATAACTTTAAGCTGAACTCTTTTTTTGTATCACAAGATTTTAAATAAACTTATTTTTTTTCTTTTCAGGTAGCCTATTTCACAGCCCCATTTCCCTATGTGATACTCCTAATACTGCTCATTAGAGGGCTCACTTTACCAGGAGCATGGGAAGGAATTTACTTCTACCTGTATCCAGATGTGAACCAGCTGGCTAACCTTGAGGTATATTGCTTACTTAATTTCATGTACACCATCGTGGTTGCCAGCATGACAAACTTGAATAAATACCATTAATTTAAAAATACTGATTTCTACTGTTTTCTTTTTTTGGACTCTGCTGTAGGACCTTTAATTGAGCTAACCAATATATAAATATTCCCATAAAAACCAATTTCAAATAGAATACAGCCTTTTCTGGTACATGCATCTGATATATATATTTTTCTGTTACAGGTCTGGATTGAGGCAGGCTCTCAAATATTCTTCTCCTACAGCCTGACGATGGGGACTCTAAATGTTCTGGGCAGCTACAATGATTACAACAATAACTGTTATAAGTAGGTACAAGTTACATGAATTGTCACCTTTATTGGATTTAAAAATAGGTTTAACTATTATATATCCAATTATATGAAAAAATACAGACTTTATGATTGCTTTACTTTGCCCCCCAGAGACTGCTTTTGGCTGTGTCTGCTGAACAGCGGAACCAGTTTTGTTGCTGGGTTTGTCGTCTTCTCTGTACTGGGATTCATGGCAGAGAAACAGGGTGTAACTGTGGATGCTGTGGCTGAGTCAGGTATAACTTCTTGTGCATATAAAGATTCAGAGTGAAGTCAAGGTTTTAGGCTCTTTCAGCTCTGTTGATGTATTTTGA